CCCCTTGGCTGGCCACTCTCTTCCAGCTGGGCAATCAGCTGGGCCTTGGTTGCTTTCTGCACAGGCAAGTCCCTCTCTCTGCACAGCCCCACCAGCTCTGCCTTCAAGAGTCGGGCGTAGGCCATCTGCCCGCTGGTCCCCTCGGTGCAGACTCACCAGTCTAGTGCTGCAGCGCCCCACGATTCCCAGGAACCGCTTCGCTCTGTCTCCAGCACGCCTGGCTCCAGGGCATTCAGAGCTCATGAATTGTCCCTCAGAGAGGGTGTAGCACGAGAGTTTTTGTGCAGTTGGGGATCTCCCCACCTAGATGTGTTTGCTACAAACAGCAACAAGAGGTACAGACTCCACCAGCCAGTAGAATGGAGGGAGTTTATTGCTTCTCCAGGATACAGCCCAGCACAGATGTAATCTAGTTACAGGAACTGGGGCTAAGAGGCCTCAGTGCCCCCCTTGAGATAGGGGAATCCCAGCCCCCTCCCCAGCTCCTTCTCCCCTGCTTTCCAGACAGGAACTCACTCACTCTCCTCCAGCCCTGCCCCCAGCCAGGGCAGCATTCCACCTTCCTTTGTTCCTCTCCATGGGGGTCAGCTGGCCAAACCAATCGGGATACCCTCTTTGCATAGTGACTCATCGCTTGTCTGTTCTGTGGAACTACAGACAGCAGCCAGAGAGTTAGCAGGTTACCCCCCACTACGTCACAGGGGCCAAAGAGCCACAGCCAGGCCATGGTAAGAGCCACACAGGAGCCACAACTGGGCTCCCTGGCTGGGACAGAGGGTCTAGGGGCAGGGACATGGGCCAGGGGTGTTTTGGGGCTCCCCATCCCAGGCAAGAGAAGGGTCTGCAGCTCCCCACAGCTGCCTGGGCCCCCCAGGGTTGCTCCTACCTAGGCCAGGCTCCAGGGTCTGGCCTGGCCGGGAGAGCAGGCCCTTGGCTGGGGAGGGAAGAGGGGGGCAGGGAGCGGGTCCTTGGAGGAGAATGGCAGGGCCAGGCTTGAGCCCCGGCTCCGTGTCCTGCCTGGTGATATTCAAAGCCAGCTCCCACCCATGCTCGTGGCCCTACTAGGCTGCTTAGTGACACGTGGCCGGGGACAGCCCCAGACTCTCCGGATGGGGGTTATTTGTGTTCTGCAATGGCCCCAAGGCGCTAGGCGCTGGACAAACACACGTTGCCTAGTCTGAGGCAGAGCATTGGGGGAAGGGCCGGAGAGCGGAGCACAAGGAAAGCGGTCATGCCTGTCAGCCCGGCACACCGGGGCACAACACCCCAAGCGCTGCTCTGCAAACCCGTCCAGAGTCAGGGCAAACCCCCCCCCCCCCCCCCAAACCCCAAGCCACAAGCCTACTCCTAGACTCCAGCCATTCCAGGTCCCCCCACTTCAGTGACCAGCTGACAACTCCACGTCCCAGTTTCAGAACTCATCCTGGGGGGTTCTCCAGTCGGCAAATCAACAGCTCCCTTCCCTCCTGCTAAATGAGACTACAGCACCTGCCCATCTCGGCATCTCTTTCCCAGCCACAATGCCTGGATTGAATCTTTGAGATCCTGGAAATCAGAGAGGAAAACTTCATCCAAATCTCAATGGGAAGTTTGAAATACTCCATGGGATTCCAGTGAGGGTGGCTGGGGCGGGAGGGAGTGTGACGTAGTGGGGGTACCTGGCTGGTTTCTATGCTGCTGGCTCTGGGGTAACCCCAATGGGCTGCCGTGGGTACCACGACCCAGCAAAACAGGATGAGTCATTATGCAAAGGGATCTCTCAACCTGTCTGACCAGCCATCCCCCCGGAGAGGAACAAAGGAAGGTGGATGCTGCCCTGGCTGGGGGGCAGGGCTGGAGGAGGGTGAGTTAGTTTCTGTCTGGGAGCATGGAGGAGGCAGCCTCAGCCACAGGCTGGGGGGGTTAGAAGCCGAGGCCCTCTCCCCATATCAAGGGGGGGCTGAGGCATCCTAGGCCTGCCCTGTAACCAGATGACATCTGTGCTGGGCTGTATCCTGGAGAAGCAATAAACTCCCTCTGTTCTCCCGGCTGGCGGAGTCTGTTCGTGCCATTTTGGGGGTGCAGGAGGCGGGGGACCCCAACGCATCGTTACAGGGAGTTTTGTCTGTTTATTAGTTTAATTTGTGTCTGTCTCTTGCATCCATTTTTCTTCTCACTGAGAGCTGTTCCCAGGGCAAATGTCACCTGGCAACCCCCAGCCACTGTGACTGGAAACTGTTCAAACAAGGGGGAAAATCAGGAAAGATTTTGCCTTTTTTAAGTGGAGAAAGTATTCTTTTTTCAATCCCTTCATTCTCAAAATTGACAGCACTGTTTCTGATCAGAATTTAAAATAAAAATACCCCAGGGCAGAGATCAGAGCAGGTAACTTTTAGCTTAAGAGGTGAAAGTTTCAGAAAATTGCGAGTGACTGAAAGCAGGCAGTGAGGACGCACCCTGAATGCTGGCGGCCACACTCACTCCGCAGGCCTGCTAAACGCTGACTAACGGAGGAAAAACGACAAACGTTGCCAGGGTGTTAACACCAAGGCTAGAGAAGCACCATGCAGCATGGGGGTATAACACTGGGGAATGGAAGGAGAAAATGAAGGGTGAAAATCAGAGAAAAGGTCACACCAGGGAGCTGCATTAGGCCCTGGCTCATGTCCTGGGATGCTGCGTTGTTTGGAACCTTAGAAACTAGAGGAGATGAAGCTCTGGGGAATGTCCTGTGGGCAGCCCTCCGCCACATTACCCCAGGAGGTCTCGTTTCTCTCAGATGAGAAGCTGGATATGAGTCAGCAGGGCGCCCTTGTAGCCAAGAAGGCTAATGGCATATTAGGGGGCATTAAGAGGAGCATTGCCAGCAGATCCAGAGATGTCATTATTCCCCTTTATTCGGCTTTGGTGAGGCCACATCTGGAGTATTGTGTCCAGTTCTGGGCCCCCCACTACAAAAAGGATGCGGATGCATTGGAGAGGGTCCAGCAGAGGGCAACCAAAATGATGAGGGGGCTGGAGCACAGGACCTATGAGGAGAGGCTGAGGGACTTGGGTCTGTTTAGTCTGCAGAAGAGAAGAGTTCGGGGGGATTTGAGAGCAGCCTTCAACTTCCTGAAGGGAGGTTCCAAAGAGGATGGAGAGAGGCTGTTCTCAGTAGTGACAGATGTAGAACAAGGAGCAATGGGCTCAAGTTGAGGTGGGAGAGGTCCAGGTTGGATATTAGGAAAAACTATTTCCCTAGGAGAGTGGTGAAGCACTGGGATGGTCTCCATCCCTAGAGGTGTTTAAGTCCCGGCTTGACAAAGCCCTGGCCGGGTTGATTTAGTTGGGATTGGTCCTGCCTTGGGCAGGGGGCTGGACTTGATGGGCTTCTGAGATCTCTTCCAGTTCTATGGTTCTATGATTTCTACCACTGCATGAGCAATCCCTAGAACATGGTGGGCAAGTGTACTATGGATATGCCTACCGCCTCCTGCTGGCCCACAGCAAGTGCCCCCGTGCACCGCCGAGGCCCGTCCTGGAGCACCCTCCTCCGAGCTGTTACAACCTTCCCCTCCCTCCCTCCTCTGGGATGTGCTACCGCGACAGGGCAATGGCAGGTGTGGATAATGGGAGTTCCTATCACTTCCATTTCTGAGTTGCTTTGAGAAGCGGATTGGCATGTGACCGCGGTACGGCAGCACAGAACGAGTCGGGGGTCCTGCCACTAAACAAGTAGCTTTTCTAGAACAGGGAGAACAGTGCGACCCCCCCTCCGCCCTGCCTGGCTCTGGAGACAGTTTTATCTGCCTTGCCTTTTGCTCCTGTGTGTACCTGAGGGGTGGGAAAGTCCCGCTTTCCACAATGCAGGCGAGGCGATGGGGAGCGAGGGCAAACGGAGCCCCATGAGCCGGGCCCAGCTTTTCGGTGTGTGTGTACAGGGCCTGGCACTCCAGAGCTGCAGGGATGCCGATGAACAGCAGCCTGAACAATCGCTTTCACTGTCATTGTGCTGCCAAGCCCCCAGAGCTGCCAGAGGCCCTGGTGTGAGCTGCAGCAGCTGCGCCCCAGAGCTTTGGGCGTTCCTAGGCCCACAGCCACCACCAGCAGGCTCTGGCAAGGCCCTTGGGGAGTAAGGGCGTAGCTACACCGGGAGCTAGACCGGTAAAGGCAGGATGTGGTGATACACTGACAGTTACAGCCCTGGCGGGGCTGCCCAGGGGTGGGGGCTGCCCAGAGGAAGGAAGCTGCCTGGGGTGGGGACTGCCATGGGCTGGGAGCTGCCTAGGGGGTGGGAGCTGCTTGGGGGGGCTGGCAGCAGCAGGGGATGACCAGGGGGGGGGGGCTGCCCAGA